TTTACCAAAAAGCCCATGGTATAAGGTGATGATATTTTGCCAGAAGCATGCTGGTATGAAAGACTATAAACTTTGTTCAACCTTATGTCCTTGTTCGACATTCAAGGTCACAGACGTCATATGTTTAAATATTTTAATAGATTCTTATGAATCAAACACTGATATTCTGCCTGTAGCTGCAATTTAGTCCACTTTTAAGATTACAAGTGTGAGATTAATACCAGGTGAGCGATGCAGGCCCATTGGGCCTCTTGTTAGGTCACCTGAGACAAAGTCTCAAGTGACTTATTGCGATCGCCTTTTGTCTGGCGGCTTCCATCGTGTGTCTGTAAACATTTTACATTTTCGACTTCTTTTCCAAAACCCTTAACCATTTTCAATGAAATTTTGCAGAAACCTTCCATGGCCCAAGGTCAACCAAAATTGTGAATTATATGGTCCCCAGCCCCCAGGGGCCTGAGGGGCGGGCCAAAAAGGGTCAAATTGACTAAAATTTCAAAAATCTTCTTCTCAAGATCCAGACATGGTAGAATCAAATACTCTTCATAGATGGAAGGGTCTTAAGATGTTTTACCAAAAAGACAGAACCACTATTTGTACACAGTACATAAACTACCAAGATCTTTCAAACTAATTTAGCATTACATGTATTTCAAGTTACCTTTGTTACAAAATAATTTCTTTTTCATTTGGCATCATCGATAACATCAGTTTTTAGCTCACCTGGCCCGAAGGGCCAATTGAGCTTATGGCATGGTGCGGCATCTGGCGTCCGTTCCGCGTTTACTTTTTACTTTAAACAACTTTCATTCATTTTCAATGTCACAGGGGTCAAATATGTTAAAATCTTTAAACAACTTCTTCTGAATAACCAAGAGGCCTAGGGTGATGATATTTGGCCAGTAACATGCTGGGATGAAGGTCTACAAAGTTTGTTCAAATAAATGACCTTGACCTACATTTAAGGTCACAGGGGTCAATTATGTTTAAAACCTTTAAACAACTTCTTCTGAATAACCAAAAGTCCTAGGGTGATGCTAGTTGGCCAGTAACATGCTGAAATGAAGGGCTACCAAGTTTGTTGAAATGAATGACCTTGATTTATATTCAAGGTCACAGGGGTCAAATATGCTTCAAACCTGTAAACAACTTCTTCTGAATAACCGAGAGGCCTAGGGTGATGATATTTGGCCAGTAACATGCTGAGCTGAAGGGCTACCAATTTTGGTCAAATAAATGACCTTCATCTATTTTCTAGGTCACAGGGGTCAAATATGTTAAAATCTTTTAACAACTTCTTCTGAATAACGAAGAGGCCTAGGGTGATGATATTTGGCCAGTAACATGCTGGGATGAAGGGCTACCAAGTTTGGCCAAATAAATGACCTTGACTTATATTCAAGGTCACAGGGGTCAAATATGTTAAAATCTTTAAAACAACTTCTTGACAACCAAGAGGCCTAGGGTGATGATATTTGGCCAGTAACATGCTGGGATGAAGAGCTACCGAGTTTGTTCAAATAAATGACCTTGACATATATTCAAGGTCACTGGGGTCAAATATGTTCAAAACCTTTGAATGACTTCTTCTTAATACGCAAAAGGCCAAGGTTGATGATATTTAATCTTTAAATGATTTGTTCTGTATAACCAAAAGGTCCAGGGTAATGATATTTTGCTTAATGTCCTTGTTCAACATTTAAGGTCACGGGCGTCACATGTTTAAATGTTTTAATATGTTCTTATGAATCAAACACTGATATTCTCCCTGTAGTTGTATTTTAGTCCACTTTTAAGATTACAAGTGTGAGATTAATACCAGGTGAGTGATTCAGGCCAATTGGGCCTCTTGTTACATAACTCAGGTAACCGTTTAGGCCTAAGGGCCTCTTGTTAAGATATGCTATGTAATTCAGTGGACTCATGAAAGAAGGACATACATTTTTGATGCATTGTTTTTTATTCTCTGAAACTGCATTTTTTGCTCTGCTTATAGAACGGTCCAAGTTCGTTCGTTTATCGTGAAATATATCTGCGCCACACATACTGTTTCAACCAGGGTTATGCGAATGTAGCCCAGGGGTATCCGCTATCCGGTTGAACCTGTTAAGAGAACAACAGATTCAGATCTGAACCGAGGCTGACCTCAGGAAAATTTGGCACGTGTAGATTGAGGGGTCCAGACGTATCTGGCCGAAACTAAAATGCTGACTATTGCCAGTTTGTGTTATTTCTTTCTAAAACAATGTCAAGCCACATGTAGTTTTTAAGATGTAACTCAGTGGACGCTTGAGAGAAGGGCATACTATTCGTGATACATTGTTTTATATTCTCCGAAACTGTGCATTTTTAGCTCTGCTTACAGAACGGTCCAAGTGTTATTGTTGAAAATTTCTGTGCCACACGTACCGTTTCAACCGTTATACGCGAATGTAAGGAGGCAGTAGCCAAATCGGATCACTTTTTGCAAAAACACTTATAAATAAATAAATGTGTCAACAAATTAGTTATAACAATGATGTAGTCTTAGAATAGATAGACATGCACCCTATTTTGTCTACAGATGACTAGTTTTTTAATTTCAAATAGCACAAGAAAACGTACTTCAAACTCAAATGTCAGTGTTTTGATTACGTTTTTAAAAAATGGCGCCTGCGAGTACGGCTATGCAATCTATTTTGGACTATAGGAATAAATTCACAATATAAAAATACTTTTTGTTTTATAGATTCTAAAGGTCATCATAAAATGTAAATATGCTGACAAAAAAACTATTCATTCGAAGCGTAAAATACTGCAAATTTCAAGCCTTGATCCGATTTGGGTCCTGACATTCGCAAAAACCGGAGACTGTTGATTTCAGAGCGTTCTATAAATGTCTCACGTGAGCCCAAGGTGCTAATTTCGCTTTGTCTTATACATTCCAAAGGTCATTATAAAATGTTAATATGCTGACAAAAATCTATTCATTTGAAGCGTAAAATACTGCAAAATTCAAGCCTCGATACGATTTGGGTCCCGACATTCGCAAAAACCGGAGACGCTGGTGACTTCAGAGCGTTCTATAAATATCTCACGTAAGCCCCAGGTGCTAATTTCGTTTTGTCTAATACATTCTAAAGGTCATTATAAAATGTTGATATGCTGACAAAAATCTATTCATTTAAAGCGTAAAATACTGCAAAATTCAAGCCTTGATCCGATTTGGGTCCTGACATTCGCAAAAACCGGAGACGCTGGTGACTTCAGAGCGCTCTTTAAATATCTCACGTGAGCCCCAGGTGCTAATTTCATTTGTAAGAACACCCATCGATAATCGTCCTTTGATACAACCATAAATGAATATAATTCCTCCTCATATTTTTCAATGAATTAACAAAATGATGGTTTGGTGATCCGATGTAGGTACTGTCACCTTAGCCAAAGATGGCAGTCCCGTTCAACCAGACTCTTGTTGTCTTCGCAAGCTTTTGCCGAACCTGTCATCAAGCGTCTGGTTGAACGAGAATATCACGATGGCAGAGACCACAGCTATAGGTACTATGAATAATCTTTATTTTTCATACATTCGTGTTACCTATATGGAGAGCTTCGATTTCCCGGGCCCTCAGCCCTCTATTATTCTTGTTTAGAAGATTTTTCCGACCGCATCTTTTTGTTGATTAGTCACTCCCCGATACTAATATAATCACACATGTACACCAGACATCTTATATATGTCAAAATGTCTAAGTCTGGTGTTAGGGTCAGAGGAACTCGGGCTAACATAATCCTTGCATATTTTGAAAAGTTGATTGTATTCCTTAATAAATGTAACATCTCCATCAAGACGGAGGCAAATGTGCCCATACAAATTGACGCTGAATCTATGCCCAGGTCATTTACTAAAACAAACTAGACAGTCTTCCACCCATCCTCGATACTCCAGGGGTTACACTCTCTGCACCCTTGGAATATGTCTTAGCAAAATTGAAGGCTCCATTTGCACCATATTGTACAGGTTGGGCACAACGGCACATATATGGGTAATAATCCTGTATTTGAGTAACAGTTATCCATTTGCAGTAAAATTTTATTACTCGGATGGGGAATAAAGTGAAGTGAAATAAAAACACATGCAGTTCTTTTGAACACATGGAGCAAAAAAGGGTGTCATTCTTTCAACATAATCCAATACAAAATACAATTGTGCACAAAAATATGTGAATTCAGTTGTCTAAATGTTAGTGAAAATGACAAATTGTATCACCTCCATTGCTTATAGTGTTCTGTAGAGTAGCTATAAATAGCACACAGAAAAATATCATGCTCACCTGTCACGTTTGCACTGGATAATCCCATTGACTGCACACTGAAGTTTAAGGAGAGCCTAGCTAGTCACTGATATGGTTTGACATGTTTGCAAAATGTTAAAACATCAGAATTGATATGTTTTTGTGAACAGATGTACTTCATTGTGTTATATATTGGATTTAGTTGAAAGTATAATGTCCTTTTTTACTCCAACTGTTTAAAAGAACTTAATATGTTTAATGCAGGATTATTAACCATATGCACGGTTGTGCCCAACCTGTTGTAGATCAGATGATGAGACTTGTTTGATTCTTTGATGTAAATTTAAAGAATCTTTTGGTTGTGTAACAATAAAATTGTCCAGCTTTGAAGTCAGGTGTCTTTTCTCCCTATTTTCAAAGGGCACGTATCAGTCTAGCAATTGGTCAGTTTTGTTTTAGCTGAGACCAATCCAATAGCTAGCCATGTATGTGCCTTCAATTTTGCTATGACATATTCAAGGGGATAGATATATTTAAGATTGCAAACTTTAAAAAAAATGAGCAACAGTGTTTAGTGTTTAACTTTGTAAATAACACATTTGTCACAAAAAAATGAAGTACCAGGTATTGTTAATGACACGTCGAAAAACATGGATATGAGATAAGACCTGAAACATGTTAAAAAAAAAAAGCAATGTTTTCTAATTTGACAACATTTCTCAACAGATTGAGGAGAGTCCATTCCTGTATGACTCGCATGTTGAACTAATCAAGATTCTGCGTCAAATGGGTGAACTTGGTCGTCTAAGGGACGCAAGAGAAAAGATGAGTGAACTGTTCCCTTTAACAGAAGGTAACAGAGTTAAGTTCAAATTTAGTTATGTAGCACTTTTTGAAACACAAACATAGCTAATGTGAAAAAAATCAGCAATGTCAATGTACCATGAAGTATAGGTCATAATGATCAGCACCCACAGCATAGAGCATGATGTTGGGTGCCAACTGTAAATATAAACTATATTCCGGAAATGAATTCCCTAGCACCTTTTGATGCCATCACCAGCCACCATTAGTTTAGTTTCACTTTCGCTCCATCCTCCTAGTGAGACAAAAACTGGGTTGTACTAAAGAGGTAAAAACGTGTAGTGCTTACAGTTTTGTTTTGTCCAGTATAAAGAATCATGTGCAAAGTTGTAATTGACCCTAAACTAAAAGTGTGTCATGTGTTATGGTTATTAATAACATGAATATTTGGCATTATCCTTGTTCCTAGAAATTGTGGTAGATAGATCTTGTGAACAGGTTTGTTTATACATTCCTAGGGTTACAATTGTTACAGAGCAAATTGTCCTGTATTTCCACGCAAAGCCTACTATGTAAACTGTCATGTTTTACGATGGCTTCTAAGCTATCTATCCTGTTACCATAGTTACTAAGCTAGCTGTCCTGTATTACCCAGAAATGGCCTAGTTATCCTGTGCTGTCATGTTACTAAACTAACTGTTCTGTGTTACAATGGTCATTATTCTATAGTTGTCCTGTGTTGTCATGGTGACTATTTTAAGCTAGTTATTCTGTGTTACTAGGCTAGCTGTCATATGTTAGATACACTGATCATGAGTTCTTTCTTTGTTACCAGAGCTATGGCTTGATTGGCTAAGGGATGAGATACCACTAGCCACAGAAGAGAATGAGAGAAGTAAACTGGAACAGCTGTTTGAGCGAGCAGTCAAAGACTATCTCTGTAAGGATGGCCAACCAAAGCTTCATTAATGAAGCATACAGAGCATAATGTCAATGAAGCATGTGGTATTATTATTATAGCACATATATTATTACGTATTATTATTATAGCACATATGTTATTACGTATTATTATTATAGCACATATATTATTACGTATTATTATTATAGCACATATGTTATTACGTATTATTATTATAGCACATATATTATTACGTATTATTATTATAGCACATATGTTATTACGTATTATTATTATAGCACATATATTATTACGTATTATTATTATAGCACATATGTTATTACGTATTATTATTATAGCACATATATTATTACGTATTATTATTATAGCACATATGTTATTACGTATTATTATTATAGCACATATATTATTACGTATTATTATTATAGCACATATGTTATTACGTATTATTATTATAGCACATATATTATTACGTATTATTATTATAGCACATATGTTATTACGTATTATTATTCCTTTAAATAATACTTTTGTTAAAACATTAATAATAGTTGTGGATGTATTCAGACATAACAGCATACCTTTACCTCCTGAATAAATCTTAGTGATGATCTTTCTTTGAAATATATTCTGATTATAATGATCTCAGTACTTCATATTTTATCAGTACATGAGTATGTAATATGTCATTGAATGCTGATTTCTCGATGACCTGGTTACAGCTGTGCAGATATGGCTTGAGTATGTCCAGTACTCCATTGGTGGGATGGGTCTGAAGGGTGGCGTTGACCGTATACGTGCCGTGGCCGAGCGTGCGCTGACTGCTGCTGGACTCCATGTCACTAGAGGAGCCTACCTGTGGGAAGCCTATCGCGAGTTTGAGAATGCAATTCTCGCAGGTTTACTGGTAAGTACAAATCTTTTTCATGCTATTGGTCTAATTGAATTAGCCTGCAAAAGTCTAAGTGTGTTATGTTCCGATAATACTGAATGTGCTTATTTTAATCAATAGAAACAATGTTTAATTTTGAGATAAGAAAATTTGAATACTATGTTATGAGCTCACCAGACAAGAAGTTGCTGTGCAATTGGTTGGTGTCCCTAGTCAACTATTTTAAGGTCACCAGAGCTTTAGCTCAAGTGACCTATTGCTATCCGTCTTCATCCATCGTCGTCCGTTAACATTAATTAATATTTCATCGGAAGGTTACTGACATCTCCCTGACCAAGTGTTGTTATTTTTTGGGTCGATCAGAAATGCAATATGGCCACCACGGCCGCCATTTTGAAAAACTATTTCAAACTTAAAGTCAAGTTCTACTGGGCCAATTGAACTGAAACTAATAATAGGAATGATCGACTCATGGTCCTGACAAAGGGTTGTTATTTTTCGGGTCGATCAGAAATCAAATATGGCCACCACAGCCGCCATTTTGAAAAACTATTTCAAACTTACTTAAAGACACGTTCTGCTAGGCCGATTGAACTGAAACTTTGTAGGAATGATTGACTCATGGTCCTGACAAAGTGTTGTTATTTTTCAGGTCGATCAGAAATCGAATATGGCCGACACGGCCGCCATTTTGAAAAACCATTTCAAACTTAAAGTCAAGTTCTACTGGGTTGATTGAACTGAAACTTAGTGGGAATGATCGATTCATGGTCCTGACAAAGTGTTGTTATTTTTCGGGTCAATCAGAAGTCCAATATGGCTGCCACGACCGCTATTTTGAAAATAACTATTTCAAACTTAAAAACAAGTTCTATATAAATAGGCCGATTTAACTGAAACTCGGTCTAGGAATGATCAGCTCATGGTCCTGACAAACTTAAGTTAACGTTATACTTAACTATTTATTACTCAAATTGGTACATATTTCAACAACAAAAATAAATACTGTAGGACTCGGGTGACCGTTAGTTATTTTAGCAATTATTCTAAGAACCATAATAACTAAGGTTATGAGATTTGACATGTTTCTTGCTTGAAGGATTATCAGTTAAACACGACTTATAAAAACTTACCTAATGTGTAAATCGCAGCTGTTGGCAAAAATAAAGATTTATCATATTGTTCATCAATTAATTTTGTGTAATATTCCAATACACCCTCAGATTCTATATTTTGTGCAACTTAGTTGTATTTCCTTGAGTGTGAACACACCTTGTTATATAAGCACATACGAATGCCTCACTTTAGTTACATTTTGTATATTGATAATTCAAAACCGTTTATTTCATCATATCCTGTGGCTGCTACATTATTGAATAACAACTATTGCATAAATTTTTAATAATTAAATCGCAAAGTCCCTGTTAAGGCAAAATTTGTAGTGGTTCTCTTTTAATTTTTCTGACGAAGTTTGGGGACTTATTGTTTTTACTCAGATTTTTATTTAAATATTATTATTATTATTCTTTCTTCTCTTCTTCCACTTTCCGCCTTAGAGGTTTGCGACACTTTTTTCAGAAACTGTAAGTCGGATCTTCACCAAACTTTTAAGGATTATTACTGATAGCCTCTAGATGTGCAAACCCCTTTTTGTTTTTCCGATTGCCATCCAAGATGGCCACCACAGCCTCTGATTGGCTAAAACATTTTGAGCCCTAACTTTTGTTATATTTGGCGCATCAAAACAAAATTTTAAGGAAAGTATCAGTAAAGGTTGTGCTCTGAAGTCAAATAAAAAAAATGATATTGTCAACAAAACGGCCGTCATGAACTTTTGAAATGTTCGGGAATTAAAAATTTCTAAAGGTGTTCGCTAAAGATAGCCAATGTCACCTATCCTATTTTACATGTTTTATAGATATTTTCCAATGCATTCCAAATTTGGCATGTAGGTGTATGATGGTACCGGGAACTCAACCACGACATCTGTTTTCTAATTAGACAACTGCCATATACTGGTTACTGATTGGTTGAAACTCCGTTAATGTTCGATTTCGTTCAAATTTAGTATGTATGTGTACTATGGCATTGCAAACTCAACTGCAACATTTGTTTTCTAATTTGACAAAATGGCCGCCATATACTGGCTTCTGATTGGTCGAAATTTAGATATTGTTCAATTTTTGTGAAAATTGGTTTACAGGGGTATTAGGGGACTGCAAATTCAATCTCATAGGTTATGTTGCCATATCAACCACATGGAGGCTTCTGATTGGTCGAAATTTATATATTGTTAAATTTTAATAAAAATAGGTATATTTAGGGGTATTAGGGGACTACAAATTCAACTGCATAGGTTTCGTTGCCATACCAACAACATGGAGGCTTCAGATTGGTCGAAATTAGGGGACAACAAATTCAACTGCATAGGTTTCGTTGCCATACCAACAACATGGAGGCTTCATATTGGTCAATATTCAGATATTTTTCGATTCCACTCAAATTTAGTATGAAGGTGTTTTATGCCATTGTAATCCTTTTCTGATGTATCTTTGCGACTATGGGGTCAGTTTAGTACTTGTTTTTCTTGAAATTGGAAATACTTTCCTTGTGTTTTGGCCATTTTAGGAAAATAAGGTCTTTTTTTAAAACTCTGTGTTTGTGAAATTTTTGTAAACTCACTAAGGCTTGTTTCTAAAAAAAAATCATGTAATGGAAACTTATTTAAGATCATGTGTATATTTGACAATTAACCAATAAGTAGTTGTTATTGATATTGGTTAACTTTATGATCTGTGTTATTTATGCAAATAATACTAGGCCAGAAATAACCTTTTAAAAGAAACTTCTAGTTTTCTATGGGATGATGACTGGGACATGTGATTATTGTAGCCCGTGCCTGGTAAAGTAGCTACCCAAGAGCAGGAGGACTTGTTTAAGGCCCAGCACCAAAGAGTGAACAGCCTGTTCAAACGTCAACTGTCCATTCCACTATTTGGTAAGTCTTTTAGGAAACCAGTGGTATAACCCCATTTAAGGTAAACTTGAACTACCCGTACTTAATTTTTCTTTTCATTCATTAAAATTCAATTTTTATGTTTGTCTACTTGTGGATTCTATTTGAACCAGATAACGCAAAAGACATATTTTGGTGGACTTAAGTTGATTTTAACTTAAAATAAAGAACATTGACACAAATTCACCCTGTTTAATTCCATGTAGCATACAGTTATATTTTCTTTTTTTTTATCATTGCTACTACCTCTCCATTTCGAATCAATCTGTAATGAGTAGGACATGTGTTTTCGAATTTTATAAAAATGTTTGTAATGTTTAGAAATATTTTGCTTAGTAAAATTTGTCATCGTTGTAATGTCATATAGAATTTATACAAGGAAATGTCAATGAAAGGAATCATTTTCAGAAATTTATGGAATATAATGGTAGAACCTAGATGATAAACTGACATTATGTTTGATGTATCACGTTATTTGTGTTATGACACTGTAGATATGACGGAGACATACTGTGAATATAAAGACTGGCTACAAGAAGAGCTAGACAGCTTCACGGAACAGACCTACAAAAAAGTTTGTACTAGACTGGACAAGGTCAAGCCTCTAGAGGAGTCACTGGTCAGTTTATTATGTTCTATTATGAGAAAACTAAAAGTAATGTATAATTTGAAATACATGTCCATTAATGTTTTTAGGTCACCTGAGCTTTGCTCAAGTGACCTATTCTGATCACCTTCTGTCCGTCGTCGTCCGTAAACTTTTTACATTTTCAACTTTTTCTCAAGAACCATTGGATGGAATTTTTTCAAACTTGGTCAGAATCCTCCTTTGTAGATGAGGCTACACAATTGTAAAATTGGGATTCCTACCCCAACCCCTGCGGCCAGGGTGGGGCCCCAAGGGGAAAATTAACCAATATTTCAAAAATCTTCTTCTTCTCCAGACTCAAGAGGTACTACAGTCATTTTCTCTGCATTGATGGAAAGATCAACATGGGCTTTATTTAAATTGTAATTTTCAGGACCCCCAAGCTATCCGTTCTCCTTTGGGGAGGGGGTAAAGTTTACTATAGTTAATATAGGGAAACAACACTTTTGGGTATATTTTGACAATTTTCTGTAGGAAATTATTCTTACTTGGTGAGAATTATCTTTGGAGGAAGACGGTTTTAAAATGTAAAATTGGGATTCCTACCCCAACCCTAGGGGCCAGGTCGGGGCCCCAAAGGGAAAATTATCCAATGTTTCAAAAATCGTCTTCTCCAGACTCAGAGTTACTACAGTCATTTTCTCTGCATGGATAAAAAGATCATCAGGGGCTTTATTTAAATTGTAAATTTCAGGACCCCGACCCATCCCTTCTCCCTGTGAGAGGGGGTAAAGTTTACTATAGTTTATATCGGGAAATAACACTTTTGTGTATATTTTTACAATTTTCTGAAGGAAATTATTCTTACTTGGTGAGAATTATCTTTGGAGGAAGATGGTTTTTACATGTAAAATTGGGATTTATACCCCAACCCTAGGGGCCAGGGTGGGGTTCCAAAGGGAGCATTTACCAATATTTTAAAATTCTTATCCTTTGATGACACGACAAGTATTGTATTTCACTTAGTTGACATGCTGTTTTCCACATCACATCTAAACAACAAAATAAAGCTACCAGTACCTATGATATAACTCAGGTGACTGCTATTGCCCTTGGGCCTCTTGTTTTAGACGAGATATAATGAGTTTAGTTTTCTTCACTTTTGAATGAAATACTTGTAGATTTGCATTATATTTAGGAATAACTTTCTATTTTCTGTTTTGGAGAAGTTGTGAGATGATAACTCAAATTGAGCACAAGGAAAGTCGTAATCACATCATAACCCCACTGAATGGTTTTATGAATATAAACTATAAACATAGTTAGATCAGAACACATGTATGTACATTCTCTGGAAAACACATTGACACGCATGATTGATTCAATTAATCAACAGATTGGAATTTGAATATGCTTATGCTTGCAGGCCCACATTGACATTATCCAATTGTTTTTGGTGGGTAAACAAAAATCCAGATCTCTGCTGATACGTGTGGTAGTTGACATCATTGAAACTGGTCTTGTTCAATGGTTAGGTTGCGTGATGATATTTCCAGCTAGAGGGGATAAATTGTCTGGAGTATAAGCGAGGACAGAGTGTACCAGGTAACTGGTTTGTTTGTGTTATATGTCCTATTAACAGTTATGGTCATTTAACCCTTTCACCACTGTAGACCATAATGGACTCATCCAGATTAATGCATGGTAGAGTCTACTAAAGTTACATAGGGGTGAAAGGGTTAAGGACATACCAGATTTTGGTGGTGGAGCGTAAATATTAAATATGTACTGTAGTAAGCTGGATATACATAGCTTGGGTGTATGGTGTTACAGGAAGCCAGTGAGGCACCAAGGCTAGAAGAGTACAAGACGTATATTAAAATTGAGATGAAAGAGGGCGACCCAACCCGTATACAGTGTTTGTTTGAGCGGGCCATACAGGAGAACAGTCTCAACTCCGATCTGTGGCTCCAGTACACTAAATACCTGGTACGTTTATTTGTAGACATGTATTTCCATGAACATCAGCATTAGCCTTTACCAGTACAGTTTGTCAGTGAATCATTTTTCCTGGGATATGTCATCCACTGTGTCGCCTACAATTGCCAAATTTTGTATGTGAACACCATTTGAGAAGGCAGAGTACTAGTATTGCTTATGGAAATATTGTGCCACAATAGAGGCAGAGTTAAGGTCCTTTGTTCACCATGCGCTATGTAGTCTAATGTATATCTGGTATACTTAATCGCTGACAGTTGCCAAATTTTGTATGTGAAGTATTAGAAATTATGATCAATTTTAAAAAACATGTTTGTCCGTCTTATTGATTCTTCTATATTTCAAGGTCAATTTGTACATGCTAGTAAATAGAAGATAAAGCAGAAGTGTTGTTTTGATTGTACTTACCAAAAGACAAAAGCATGGAAATAATACCACAACAAAATTTACTGTTGTATAGTGATCTATGACAGAACGTTAAGATTGTGACTAAAGTTACAACTATTGCTATACAGGATGAGAAACTGAAGGTGAAGTCGGTGGTGCTACCTGTGTATGAGCGATCAGTACGGAACTGTCCCTGGTGTGGGAAACTATGGCACAAGTACATGCTGGCCATGGAGCGGTACCAGGAACCTAATGACAAGGTCAAAGGTGAAATTCTTTTCTTTTTCAGGTTGTAAACAAAGTTTTAACTAAAGATGGTTTGGAATAAATAGACTATCTTTTTTCAATCTATTTTTTACTCTCATCCTGGAAGTAAATCTACTATTTCAAAATCATACCTAGTTATGAACATTTAAAAAGTGATCTATAGTGTCTAACATCCATTTTTTGTGTTCATATTTGTCTGTACAGATTTGTTGTGTTACGTGAGTGATGACATGTGATTCGTCTCTACAGATTTGTTGTGTTACGTGAGTGATGACATGTGATTTGTCTGTACAGATTTGTTGTGTTACGTGAGTGATGACATGTGATTCGTCTCTACAGACTTGTTGTGTTACGTGAGTGATGACATGTGATTTGTCTGTACAGATTTGTTGTGTTACGTGAGTGATGACATGTGATTTGTCTGTACAGACTTGTTGTGTTACGTGAGTGATGACATGTGATTTGTCTGTACAGATTTGTTGTGTTACGTGAGTGATGACATGTGATTTGTCTGTACAGATTTGTTGTGTTACGTGAGTGATGACATGTGATTTGTCTGTACAGATTTGTTGTGTTACGTGAGTGATGACATGTGATTTGTCTGTACAGATTTGTTGTGTTACGTGAGTGATGACATGTGATTTGTCTGTACAGATTTGTTGTGTTACGTGAGTGATGACATGTGATTTGTCTGTACAGATTTGTTGTGTTACGTGAGTGATGACATGTGATTTGTCTGTACAGATTTGTTGTGTTACGTGAGTGATGACATGTGATTTGTCTGTACAGATTTGTTGTGTTACGTGAGTGATGACATGTGATTTGTCTGTACAGATTTGTTGTGTTACGTGAGTGATGACATGTGATTTGTCTGTACAGATTTGTTGTGTTACGTGAGTGATGACATGTGATTTGTCTGTACAGATTTGTTGTGTTACGTGAGTGATGACATGTGATTTGTCTGTACAGATTTGTTGTGTTACGTGAGTGATGACATGTGATTTGTCTGTACAGATTTGTTGTGTTACGTGAGTGATGACATGTGATTTGTCTGTACAGATTTGTTGTGTTACGTGAGTGATGACATGTGATTTGTCTGTACAGATTTGTTGTGTTACGTGAGTGATGACATGTGATTTGTCTGTACAGATTTGTTGTGTTACGTGAGTGATGACATGTGATTTGTCTGTACAGATTTGTTGTGTTACGTGAGTGATGACATGTGATTTGTCTGTACAGACTTGTTGTGTTACATTACATGTGATTTTATTCCTACAGAACTGATAGATAAGGCTCTCCTGGCAGGCTTCAGCAGTAGCGCGGATTACCTACTAGTGTGGAGTACTTACATAGACTATCTCCGGCGCAGAATAAAGTGGGACGAAGGTCTGTACACACCAGTCATAATACAATGGCTAGATACTAAATACAACCTTGACAGTCTGGTGTTCTGTTGAGGTTTGAAACCCTGTCAGTAATTGAAAGTACTGTACATCAAATAAACTATGTTTTTTGTATTATTTTAACTCACATTTGTAAATAGACATGTCCTTTATCATCTTTTTACATGCTAGTGTAATGAAAGAAACACTTTAGGGTTTCTGTGTTGAAGGTCAAGGTCACTGTTACTATTTTTAGAATCATTGTCATTGCTGAGTCAGCATTCTGAGTCAACTATATACATGGTGAGAAATACATTAAAAATACATTTAAAATAAATCATGTGATCGTATGTTATTGAGTATATGTTAACTATTCAATAAAATGCACATTGCGTAATGTTTATATTTCTTATATGCCAGAGAATATACTCATAATGTTTTTGCCATTTTACGTCATAAACACAAAAGACATTTTTATGCAAGCAAAATGCAAACTGCACAATAAAAATCTATTATCCATCGAAGAATGCAGTTGCTAGAGCAGATACTGATACATCATTGAATGTTCTATTAATTTCCTCATTCATACGTCACACAATGTGTGAATGCGAGGGGATTTGTATGACTTGTGATGCATTGTTCTGGTTGAGATATCTCTATGTCACCCCAGGGTGGATAAACCTGATGATAACCTATATAGAGGTGTACTATTATACTACTATATCACTAGCCTGATGATAACCTATATAAAGGTGTACTATTTCACTAGCCTGATGATAACCTATATAGAGGTGTACTAGATCCCTAGCCTGATAACCTATATAGAGGTGTACTATATCACTAGCCTGATGATAACCTATATAGAGGTGTACAATTTCACTAGCCTGATGATAACCTATATAGAGGTGTACTATTTCACTAACCTGATAACCTATATAGAGGTGTACTAGATCACTAGCCTGATGATAACCTATATAGAGGTGTACTATATCACTAGCCTGATGATAACCTATATAGAGGTGTACAATTTCACTAGCCTGATGATAACCTATATAGAGGTGTACTATTTCACAAGCCTGATGATAACCTATATAGAGGTGTACTATTTCACTAGCCTGATGATAACCTATATAGAGGTGTACTATTTCACTAGTCTGATGATAACCTATATAGAGGTGTACTATTTCACTAGCATGATGCCCAGGACTACTGGATTATATGTCGGGTATTATGAAAGTTTTTGTTTTATTTTTTTACCAAAAATTAGCTTTAGCTTGGCCAAGTAGAATGTTTAGAAATCTGGCAAGGGGCTAGTACTCTTAAACATTTTATTGAACACACATACTATAAAACCATAATATCTGTTAGGAAACTAGCTTGATATGTTTTTAATTATGTCTGCTATTATGACCCTCAGAACACAAGGAAGCATTGGAGCTGTTTCGGTTGACACTGGAGAAAGCTGTAGAACATTTAGCTGGTAATCAGGGATTTTTGAGATACTAAAACTATATTTGAATATGTGAGAAATATAATGGAATCATCTGAATCAAATCATTTATCGTATGTTACAATGTTTTCTTTTCTTTTTTCTTTTTTTGGCAAAATATGATTTTTTAATGTAAAAATTTTGACTATCTTGTTATTTTCATGGTTCGGTACCACTTGCAATGAGGACATGAGATTTTCATTTTTGAAAGAATAAAAAAAGGATGAAAAAGAAAAAAAAATTAATACAGTTTTTTTTATATGTCAATCCCTATAATACTGTGTTCATTGATTTGGCAGGTTTTGAAGATGGAGATCCATTTGGAACATTACGACAGTACTGGGCTAATATTGAAGTAGGTTATAGTTTTTATGAATTTATCTTTTATCGCATATCTGTCCGTGAACACATTGTATGACCATAACCTCCAAAGACGTGTATGACCATTCCGGTGGGTGAATGTTATTTTTAGGTTGCATGTCTCATTACAAGTTCAAGCCGACACCTCAAATGTCAAAGGTCATGGCAAGGTCACTAAGGTCAAATTTAACATTGAAATATATATAATCATGGTAACCTAATCACTGCAAATTCATAGATGTGCCTGTTTTACAGGAAAATATAATTGTTTCCTGCATGAAATAAACAAGAAGTTATTTATTTATTTACCAGTAAACAGATCTAGTAGATTGAAAATAGTTTTGGTGTTTGAATAATTTATGCAAGTAACCTTATTGATGTGCAGTCTTAACTTACCTGGACACAGAAATATGATATTTTTGCCAAGGGCAGTACTGAATTGAAAGCCTTACACAAGACTTTGTTTTTCACTTTAGGCAAAGTTCTGTACGAATTTGACCAAGGCTAGGGAGTTGTGGAATGAGATCATGACAGAGGGCCACGGCAGTGAGGCGACCATGTGGCTGGAGTTCTACAAAATGGAGAGGTATGGTTGTTTACTTCAGATGTTTAAGTAGAGTTACACTCATTTTGGATGATTTGATGGTTTAAGGATGATAAAAACAAGCTGACCATTATGAAATCAGAACTATAAGCACATACTGTAATTAAATACCAGTTATCAAGGTCATCTATTGAATTTATCATCCAAAAATGTTTGGCTTTGATTCGCACATCACAAAATGAAGGCATACCCATTAAATTTCTATCAACAGTCTTCAGTATCATTATTCTATTACACTTGTTGCGAAATTTTATCTCTAGCAACCATCAATTTTCTGATGTGACTAATGACAATAAGTACTGGGAATACTAGAAGTCGCCTAAACATTTTCTGAACAACTGTAGACACAGGATGTTCTTGAGGTTTAGTTTCTACATGAGGTTAATAAAGTCTTTCCAAGAATCGCTCAAAGAATTATGAACTTGGGACTAAATTTTAGGTTCAAGTGCATTCACCAACTCTATCTGACAAACTGACTCAAAATGGCTACCAATGGTGATCTCTGAGGATTTCCTACAAATTTGTTATTGGGGGTAGTTAACGTGGGCTAGAAGGGGGTCCTCATAGATCTGTTCTGCACTTGTAGAGTGCAGTATCACAATTTGACACAATAAAGAGGCCCTTCAAGGGAAAGAAATCTGTTCTTCATAACTACATTGTTGTGAGTGAAGGTTACAATTGAATTGCCTTCTGGCTGCTTGCTGTAACCCCCACCTACTAGCAGCAGCTTCTCTACTTAAAGTTTACAGCAGCCTGCTCCTACATGAATTGGAAAAATTTAGAATATTTTTTGTTCAATTTTGAAAGATAGCCCTCATTTTTCCTTCATTTTTGGGGAAATAAAGCATTTTTTTGCAAGAGGAAGCAGCCTGTATTCAGATTTAAAATAAGGCCAAAATAACTATCACTGACTATGACTAAAATGGGGCTAAATTGTACCTAATGACCTTCTCTTTTAATTAAGTTAATACTTCATATATGTACAGAGTATTAATATGTTGTTTATTTCCTGCAAACTACTTATTGTTGCCACACATATCACTCAATTTAAGAAACTAATCATGGTATTGCAGAATGTATGGAAACAACAAACATTGCCGGAGAGTTCTGACAAGGGCACTTAACTCTGTCACAGACTGGCCGGAGAGCGTTGTAGAAGCTTACACTAACTTTGAGAGAGAAGAAGGTAAATTACATTATGATGTATCTTCATCAGTTGTGATGATTCACTTCAATTTATTAAGTGACAGTACAATTCTAATGCAGAGGAAGATTTGAAGGTAAAATATTTTTCTTGTAAATGGTTTGTATGCAATCCAAGCATGTAATATAAACTTTGTGTATATCTATGGATAGAATATGTTGAGTCATCAGAAATAACTGCAGCACACGTGTTATAATTGTACAGGTAACATAGAAGACTATGACACTGCTGTTACCAAGTGTGAGGCTCAGATGGCGAGAATAATGGAGAGGCGGCAACAGGTAGCTCCTAGTCACCAACAGCTAGATTATAGGTCTACATTCGTTTGTGTAGCTACATGTATATTGTGATACATTTTTACTTATTAAACAATAAATGCATTATGCACTGGAAGACATGAAGAATGAACTCTGAACAGTTCCCACTGTTTATGACAGAAGGTCTTGTCATAGAATTTTTCTTCAGAAATAATATTCAGAGTTACGATATACCGGGAAATTTTCACCCAATGAAATAATCACCCTTCACCATTAATGGCCATATTCACCCGGTGTTAAGTTCCCCCTTCACATGTAATAGATACATATTGCATGCTGTATACTAATATTTGCTCTCGCGGTAAATTTGCCTTCATTTGCAGAGGGTGAAATAGTCAAAAGTTAATCTGCAGCGAAATTTTTTCCTGTATTCAGTATTTAATACAGAAACATGAGTTGATACTTATCTGTACCTTCAGGTTAGGCAAATTCAGTTAGATCCAAACTCATTAATGGCTACCAGGAATATCTAATGGTTATAGATATTCAACAGCGTTTGAAAAAATCAATTTATTTCTGAAATATTTATCATTGTTGTATGTAAAGTCAGAAATTTTATTATGATGAGTAATTAAGATCGGCACATGATAAATGAAAAAATTGATGAACAAATTGTTTTCAAAGGCAGCCGAGAAGGAGGCAGCTGTTAAAGAACAAAAGAAACAAGGCAAAAGTGATAAAAAGTCCCAGAAGAAAGGTCAGAAGGGCACAGACCAGCAAGGAACCAATCGCTTCCAAGGAAAACAAAGGTCAGGGGGTGAACAAAGGTCAGAAAATTGGTCACAGTCGGCAAACCAGAAGGAGAAAACTTACGAAGATTCAGAAAATGATGGACAAAAGAAAGCAGAGAAGAGAAAGGTAAAAAAAATATATGTTAAATTACTTGGTGGTAACAATCTTCCTTACTTCTGTAGTTATGACTATGTCGAGATAAATAAATAAAAACATTCCTTTTGATATTGAAATCATGTCAGGTTCTTCATGGTTGCCGATAGCAAACCAGTATTTTCCCTGAATACAGAATTTCTTTAACATTTAAAGACAGCATATTGCTTTTTCTTAAATGAACCCATCATCCTTTTGTATGGGGAAGACTGGGAGATCTGAAGCTAAGGGGATTTCATTGTCCAAACCAAGGTTCATATGCGACTAGTTTCTCCTTCATCATCTCAGTAAACCAACAAATACTAAACAAGAAACCAAACAAACGGTAATCAGAAAAGTAATATTTTCTAGTAAAGTTTATGTAGCTGGTCTTTACTGACAGGTATGGGAGAAATAAAATGCCATCCTCAGCGATTTTGAATTAAATGAAGCCTCGAGTGCGATATGAAATTGTCTTCACAGTTCTTGTTTATTTTGCCTGCAGTTCGAGGAATCATCAGGACAGTCAAATGACTTCAAGGTGCCACCACCTCCAGGTTTCAAGGGGCCAAAATCTGGCTCCCAAGGCCCTCCTCCAGGCTATAAGGGGCCGAAGTCTGGGTCTGCGGGACCACCACCAGGGTTCAAAGGTCATTCCAACAATTCCTCAGAGTCACCAGCTAAAAAACGCAAACTAGGTATGTATAAATATATACAAAACAGGACTTAAAGCTGAGTGTTACATTAAAGGGTACATCTTTAAATTCACCAATTTATATATTGCTTGAGGATGATGGGGAGAGCAGTGTGCCAGAGTAACACTTTAACTGTATGGACTGTCTGTCACACAGAAGCTGATGCTACAGGACAACACGGGGGTGATGGTGACTTTGCCGCAGACCCTTCAGCACAGAACAGGACTGCCTTTGTCAGTAACCTCGACTTCTCTATCGGAGAGGACAAGCTTGGAGAAATATTCTCTGAAGTAAGAATTATAGAAGAATCTGCTTTCAACCGCTATACTCGGGCCCACTTGTATAAAACATCTCAACGCTTGAGATTTTCCTCAAGTCTAAGATTTTCCATAGACAATACATTGCTTGAGATTTTCCTTAACTTTGAGATGTTTTATACAAGTGGGCCCTGGTTGATATTTCAGCAGTATATTGTAGCTAACAGAGGCTATACAGTTAAACATTTTGTTTCAATGAATGAAGCCTGGGAATGGCAAGAAGTTCTGTCGTTAGAGCAGTAGAATGGTATTGACTGTTTTTTGTTACAAAAACTGTCAATTGTGTTTACTAAATATTACAGGTAAAAACAATTCTGTGAAGGAAAACACATTTAATTCAAGAGTTTCACTTGCATTAATTGAGGTGTCTTATACAACATGCTTTCAACAAGGCAATTTTCCAATACATATTCTGCAAGTGTCTTTCAAAGTAACGACTTTGCAACTAGCAAATTAATTTTTACCCATTTTTCTCCTATCTTTGAACTTTCGTAAGAAATTTCTTTACTAAATTTGATAATTATTTGTCCCCAGTGTGGTGAGTTGACAGATATTAGGATTGCAAAGAACTTCAAAGGAAAATCGAAAGGATTTGCCTACATAGAGTTTAAAGACGAGGTAAGTGGATATTTGTTTATAACACCTGTAATTACCTTACTGATTGTATTGTTGTAATACCTGTCTATATCAGTTACTTTAGTAATGATAGATTTCCCAATTTCTATGCTTAAGGATCCCTGTCCCTCTGCTCTGCCGGTTTTGCTATATACAGTTACCTCCCCTTAAGGATCCCTGTCCCTCTGCTCTGCCGGTTTTCCTATACACAGTAACCTCCCCTTAACTTCAGATTGGATGTAACTGTAGCACATTTGGGCTCGTACACTTCTGTTGACCAGGTAACTCAATTGGTTACAGCGATAGTATAACAATCTGGAGTTCAGGGTATGAATCCCGGTCTAGCCCACTAAATGTTTACACTCAGAACACTCTAGTTGATTATATTTTGTTTATTTTGTCTAAACTATTTTTCTTAAAATCCTGCAAGGGTTGGTTGTCTCTTCAGAAATGTAACCTGGAACTATCATTTGACTTGTGTCAATGTGTAAATATCTGTTACGATATTTCAACCTTTTATAAATGTGAATGTCAATTTTGATTGTTCAACCTTGATGGTTCATTTTATCTTGAAATGTTGTGTCGACATTTTGACCTTGAACCAATCTTGAAGGTCACTGACGTTTCCAATCCATAGTTACAATTTTTGGCGGTGGTACGAGATCCTTAATCAGGAAATATCCGCACAACATTCCTTTCCTACTGAGGTCTGTAATAATAACTCTTTTCCAGTTTGGTGCTATGAATGCCATCAAGCTTGACAGAAAGTTGGTGGAGAATCGCCCAATGTACGTCTCAAAGTACGAGGAGAAGGGCAAAAGCAAGGCACAGTTTAGGGTAAGTCTCACTACAGTAAGGGAAGCTTGACACACTTTGTGGTGTCTGTCTGGGATGGCTTTATTCATGTAGTTTAGTTTTCAGTTTCATTTACAGCTGTTCATTTGTAAAACTCAAATTTGAAAGGTAATTTAGAGACAAAAGGAAAATTGTATGTAATACTATGAAGTCACTTATTGGTAGGGTTTTCAATTTGACTGATTTGGTGGCTGCTCTTCATCAATGAAATCATAGGTCCACCAAGTAATTACAAGTTTGGCATCAAGCTATTACTGTATAGCGGTTAAATTTCGCGGGGGTTTTAATTTCCCTATATTTGCGCTTTGACTAATATCCGCGAAATCTTAACACCAGCGAAATTACCGCAAATGTTAACCACTTTTATGGACCTTATCATAACCTGTTGAAAATACTTATAACCCAACGCTGTTATGCAAGCTTAAATGAACTCAAATTGGATTATCACTGGACAACTGGGCAGTCCATGTCAAAACAGCACTAACCTATAAGTGACCACAACATATTTATGTGAACACAGTAGGTGATGAGTTGATTACAGTTTACTAAAGGTGCATACACATTTTATTTTCTGCCGAGTGAAGTCACTGGCGGATGACGACGCTCTGGATCAGTGTTTTCAAACGGGTTACCGTATTTCGAGGTTTAACCCTTAAATGATGACCCTCTAAATACTTTGGACGACACAGCGAAATTTAAACCCCGCAAATATTTAATGAATACAATTGAATCAATTGTCTTCATACAATGTAACCATGAATGATTATACAAGTGTTTGTTCTGTATTTATAATATGCCTATGTCATATAGTCCATATATTATGTCAGAATTCTTACAAATCTGAAACGGTGCTTGGATTTATGAAAGTTCTTTTTCAGTACTCTATTGACCTGGAGAAGAACAAGCTGTTTGTGAGTGGTCTCCCCTTCACCTGTACCAAGGACGCCCTTCAGGTCATGTTTGGAGCGGTAAGAAATCACTGAGATCATTGACCAGACTACTGTATTATCATATAGTTTCGTTGGTGTTAAATTTCATTGTTTTTGTTTTGGGGACAAATTCGTTGGGATTATATATTTGGGGATCAATATTTTAAAACCCAGTATTTTTTTCTGTTTGACACCTGGACTATAAGACAATAGGTCCGGCTAACCGTACATCACCCGAGGTGATCACCTGCCCACTTCAGGTGAAATTTTTACACCTCACTTCACCCCAGTCAGGAGAAAACAATAGATCGACCATCTCTCGTTGGTCATATAATTTAGTCTAGACAAACATGTGTGGTAGTTAATAGCTATATACAATGGAAGTAATTAGGCTTACCGTCATTTTATAGCACAAGTTCTGATAAGAAAACGAGCATGCATTTAATAAATATTCACAGTTACCTTGACACATTGTGTGAGAAAATCATGCCGATTTCAATGTAAATAATACTTAAGAAGGAAGACGTGTGTTTTAATGCATTAGAAGTTTATTTCCCTGTCTGTCTGTTGAAAAAGTTTCAAAATCGGGGCATGCCATCCCGACAGCATGGTGCCGGAAATCGATCCAAAATTAATGTTATTGTCATAAACAACTGACGACGACTGCATTATTTACACTTTACACCCTTTTCGTTGAAAAGAATATTTTATTATTTCTAAAAAGGGAATAATTAGTGTTTTTATACGTCCGTCAAATTTGACGGGAGTATTATGGTATGGCGTTGTCCGTCCATCTGTCCAGCAAAAACTTTTGTTTGTCCGGCAATCCTCTCCTACATTTTTGACTGATCTCTTTGGAACTTTGTATACATCATAATCATGATATGAAGTTGTGTCTCCCTTAAAAGAATTTTGATGCGACGATTTTTGCAAAAGTTATTGCATTTCAGTATTTGATTTTTTGTCCGGAGATTTTCTCCTACATTTTTTATAGCATGTCAGCTAACCACTCTTAGAATGATGCAGATTTGATTTTAATGTATGAAAGTATATAACAATATATGACTCTCGACGGGCGTTTATTGTTTCGCCCCGCGGTACTCTTGTTTCATATTTTCGTTTAGTTTATATTTCGTGTACTTAAAATTTCGTTGGGGCTATATTTCGTGGTTTTAAGTAAACTAAATTAAATCCCCAACGAAATATTATGCTTTTACAGTATTAGTTTTTGATAGTCCATGTTTATTTACCGCAGTGAAGTGGTGAAAGATGCTGTAAAAGTCACACTTAATTATAACTTATCAGAAGGTTTGCTGCAACATCTTAATATTGGTGTAAGCCAGTTCACCTAGTGACTAAGATCAATCATTTGCAATCATCAACAGTTATTTCATCATTTTTCACATCTTTTATCAAGAGTTTTGTTTCATTTAATACCACATTATTAATGACCAACCCTAGACCTCACAAACTCGTTTGTTGCGACAAACCTCCTGATAAGTTATAATTAAGTGTGATTTTTACAGCATCTTTCACCACCTCACAAACCCTCCTAGACCTCAGAACTGACCCTTCTAGACTTCACAACTGACCCTATTAGACCTCACAAACCTCTTAGACCCCACAACCGACCCTCCTACACTTCACAACCGACCCTCCTAGACTTCACAACCGACCCTATTAGACCTCACAAACCTCCTAGACCTCACAACCGACCCTCCTAGACCTCACAACTGATCCTCCTAACTTCACAACCGACCCTCCTAGACCTCACAACCGACCCTCCTAGACCTCACAGCCAACCAGTTTATAATGGTTTACGGGATGGTTTATGTGCCTTTTATTTCGAAATGTATTGACTATATTGTGTGAGTGCGTCTAAAGTATGATACGTGTATAAACAATGATACTGAAGTGTCATTTTCCTTTTACTTCTACATTATGTAACACTGTTTTGTGATAACGTGTTACGGTTAATCTGTTGGAGCTTTAGTGAAGCTTTTTTTTTATTTTATCTTTTATACGGTACCAGAGTAATAGACTCATTAGAAAAGAAATCCTGGTCAATACAACAATATTTCAACAGTCATCAAATGTCTTGTATATTCTAAAACTTTGAGATGCATACAAATTTGGGTTAAGGGAATCAAAATAGTTGCATAGAGATAAGACGTAAATATGTATGCAAATTTTAACTTTTTCAATTTCATTAAGTTTGAAACAAGCGGGGACTGGATAATGATCTAAAGAGGAATCTGTTGTTTTGACAATGTAGTTTTATGCTTTCTCATTTTCTTTACTATTTAAATGGTAGTGCTTGTAAACGCTTCATTATGACATGAAACTTCTTAGAAATAAGTTGGTACATAGAATGGCTGTTCATTGTCAGTTGTACTTAAAACCTGACTAGTGACAAGTACAAACTTCTTCACCTTACACGATACAGGATCTAACGAGAACTTAGGTCACACCGACTGCCGAACACCATCTGGCGTTACGTTAATGTACAGTACATGTATACAGTAGATAGCATACATTTTTGATAGGGAGAACTAAATATTCTTAACGCCTATGGAATGATCTAGTGCATTGTATTAGTTGTTTATTAAAATTGTAGTTACTGTATTATCAATTTAGTTTTAAATAGTCATTTGCTACAAATTTCAATAGAATGAATGAAATGTTATGAAGATTTGCTTATTATTTCCACATCACAACTCCAATTCCTGTGACTCAAATCTACTAAAACCTCAGTCAGTGCTTGCTTGGAATAGGTTTTCAGGACTAAAGGTCAAAGGCTAAGGTCATTGTTACAATAAATGCAAAATTGATTTCTGCAAAATAAAATGAGTTCCCTCAGGGACGTATAGTGAAGGGGATTAGCAACTCCCTCTCTGCCTTACCAATTTTATGACACGTCAATCTAGACTTACCTCCCCCTGATTCCAGGGCAGATAGCGAGCGCCACCTATCTCAATTTTGACAAAGCAAGATGGCGTCGATACCGCTTCGTTAGATGCAGAAGTTGGTGTGAAAACAAACCAATCTCAATAAGTGTTCTTACGTCATTTGTTTATCCCATTGTAATAAGCTGATTGTATAACTTTTAATTGATAAAATCTGTGGTATCATAGTAATTGATGTCTCGTTTTTGGGTTTTATTTTTCTATTTTTAAACGCGATGTAACGCGTGGTTCAGAGTATTGTGGTGGGCTTCGATAGACAAAAATGCGGGATAAAAAAACCCCACATGTATGTGAACCACCTCACTCCAAAAGTATTTGACCGATCTTTTTTAAATAAGCAGCAATAGAAAGCTGAATAAATTTTATAACGACCCAACCCATTTTAGATGCAAATAATATAATTTAACTTGTGTTATTTTTGTGTCAAAAAGACTAAATATCTGCATTATTTTTCACTGGAACGTAAATCATTATTGCGAAAGTAGTTGGTGACTGCTCACTGTTTTGATTAAATTTTATAAACTATCGATTATATTTTTTAAAACAATTAATATCAATAAACAGCTGAGTAATTTCTATGTTAAGTAGGCCTGATTTGATTTGCATTACTTGGAACGATAGCGATGTCACAGATGAAATTACTCGTCTGGTAACGAAGGACACGTGTTGTTAAAAACCCTAAACAAAAATGCGGGATAAAAAAAACCCACATGTATGTGAACCACCTCACTCCAAAAGTATTTGACCGATCTTTTTTAAATTATCAGCAATAGAAAGCTGAATAATTTTTATAACGACCCAACCCATTTTAATTGCAAATAATATAATTTAACTTATGTTATTTTTGTGTCAAAAAGTGTAAATATCAGCAATATTTTTCACTGGAACGTAAATCATGGCGAAAGTAGTTGGTAACTGCTCACTGTTTTGATTAATTTTATAAACTATCGTTTGTATTTTTTAAAACAATTAATATCAATAAACAGCCGAGTAATTTCTATGTTAAGTAGGCCTGATTTGATTTGCATTATTTGGAACGATAGCGATGTCACAGATGAAATTACTCGTCTGATAACGAAGGACACGTGTTGTTAAAAACCGTAAACAACCGGAAATGTTAAACGCAACAAAAAAGTATCGCCTGCATTCGAGGATCAGCTCATTTAAAAAATACTTCTTTTTGAAATTTACAGCGATAGAAAGTTGAATAATTTTTTGATATGTAGTACTAATTTTTATGGCAAAAAATAACAAATAACTTGTGCTGTTTTTGTGTCAAAAAGTGTCAATATTAGCATTATTTTCACTGTAACGTGCTTTACGAAATGTGATTTGTGTAATAGCCACCAACACAGCCGAAAGGCTAGACATAGTGGCAACGATAGCCCTGTCCCTGGAATAAAAAGAAGACCTACTAATACACAGTCGCAATTAGGGCTAACCGTTATCAAAACACTTCGATCTCGGCGAGATTGTGACATGACACCGAAAGCAGGTGCGTGCTTAATTTTAACGCTAGTGCGCAAGCGCAGGCTGATAGAGAGGGGCTCTCGATGACTTCGCGGTTCGGTGAACAAACACAAAAGCGACGTGCTATAGAATCTTGACTGGGGCAGAGTTGCCAATCCCTCTATATACTGTCCCTGGTTCCCTTTGCTTTACAAATTCAAATTTCATATGATGCATCCACACCGAAAAGATGTTCTTGTGATTGGAGTTCAGATCCAAAGGTCGAAGTTCAATGTTACGTACATATAGAAAGTGTGTTTCTGCAATATAAGTTGAGTTTGTGTGGGCTGATCAAACATATATTGCTTTCATACTGGAAGTGTTTGTATGGAATTGCTTTGCGAGTCTGGGGGTCAAGGTCACAGTAACTATAATTAGAAAATTGGTTTCTGCACAACTCAAATTCCCATGAGCCAATCAAATTCATTTTTCATCTGCATCCTAAATAAAAAGTGCTTGTTTTGGATCAATTTTCATGTACAAAGCTGAGAAGTCAAGGTCACTGTTATTATAAACGGAAATGAAGAATTGGTTTCTGCTCAGTGTCTTGAGTGCCCTTGGGCT